GTTTTGACAAAAAAAATTACGTCACTTCTGGTTTTGGAAAAAAAATGACGTCACTTCCGGTTTTGAAAAAAAATGACGTCACTTCCGGTTTTGACCAAAAAAATGACGTCATTTCCGGTTTTGAAGAAAAAAATGACGTCACTTCCGGTTTTGACAAAAAATACGTCATTTCCGGTTTTGACAAAAAAACTGACGTCATTTCCGGTCTTGGAAAAAATGACGTCACTTCCGCAAATGACGTCACTTCCGCAAATGACGTCATTTCCGGTTGCAAAATGACGTCACATCCGGTTTTTTGTACAAATGCAATTAACATTCCAGAGTTTGTTATTGGGGTTGAAGTACTCGAACTTGAGTTGGGAGATGGCAAAACCATCGGACGAGAACAACCTCGATTGTCTGCCCTGTTTATTCCTCCAGTTTCCTGTTCGTGAAAATGGAACGAGGGTTTACAAAATTCTCCAGGTGTTCTCCAAACAAGTGAGTCAAACTGATAAAACAGAATGGACTCATTAACTGCTGTAAAGAATTGTGTATTATCGATAGGAACAATTTTATTGATGATGATGGAAGGAATTAAAAAAACAAAATATTCATTCATTTTATTAATTCAAGGCAATAATGATGGATACTCTAATATCCGGTTTCGCCGAAGATAATCGATTAAACGAAGATACAGTTGATGCTGCCAATCAGAATCGTACCGAAGGCTCTGTGATAATGAATGCTGGTAGTTTTACCAACAAACTTAGCAAATTCACTCTGGCAACTTTTGACGATCAAGGTAAATTAACCCTAAATTAACAAACTTCTCTCCAATTCATTAGCTCCTCATCGCTCGAGACATCTTCAAATTATACATTAAAAATTATAATTAATATCCTTCAGTCTCGTAAATATTTTAAAAAGCCGAAGAGCTCAACTCACAAATCGTTGACTCTTCTTTTTCACAGATAATTGCTAATAATTATTGTTCTCAGGTCGCTGCATCGGACAAATGGGCTCTTGGTCCTTTCAATGATATTACACCCTATTTTCCTGTGCACAAGTGTTGATGACCAAAGTTAGACATAGAATTAATCGTGATATTGACAAAAGACTTTCCGCGAGAATGTATTTTCATCGAGATAAGAAATGAGAAGCAAACTTGACTGTTGTCTAATTAAATTACTATTTCAAAAAAATTGCATAAAAAATATTGTTTAACCTTTGAGTGGCAGGAGGCGTTCGTCCTCGTCGAGAATTCTCACCATCACTCGATAGCGATCCGACGACAGCTCCACGTGACGCTTCAACCGGATGTCCAGTGTGTGCATTATCAAGTTGACTTCGTTTATCTCTTCGTTGAGCTTCTCTTTCTCCTCCTTGGAGAGATCTTCGTCCTGTAATTTTTTATAATAAATTTTTACCTTTAATTTTATTGTTTATGCCTTCATCAAGATGTCTATGTGACTTGAATTGATTGAATTGACTTGATTGACTCGAATCATTCAATTGATTCAATTGATTACACGACTCACCTCTGCCGATTTCCGCTGCAACTGCTGGAGCCTCGCCTTGCAATTCTCGAATCGCCTCAAAATATCGTTAGCTCGGTTCGTCAACGTAATCTTGAGATCATTCAGGCATTCCTGGCGCACCTCGTAAGCCTGAAGTTTCGTCAGAGCCTTAGGATTCCCAAGCCTAGCCAGGAAAGGTCGCAAATAGTCGATATCCTCTTCAACTTCTCTCTGACTCTGCGCCCGGAGCAGCTCCTCCTTAGCAAACATTCCCGCCTTAGCCTCCTCATTCCTATTCCTATCGAACATGGAGACGATGAGTCTAGGCATGAAGTATTCCTTCTTCCTGGTCTTCAGGAACACGGAGATCTCTTTCTCAGCGTCCCTCACATAATTGACCGCCTGCACCTCATCTCTGAGGAGCATCTCCAGGAGATAAAACAACTCCAGTGATTTAGGAGGTTGTGCCATTGGGTCAGGATGATACCCAGTGGTCATGGTCTCATCGAAAACTAGACGTTCGCCCCTCTCAGCCACCGGTGGCTTGACGAATATCCTCGACGCTCTGGTGATCTCGTCCTCTCCATAATGATACTTTAATCTGATTTCATTGTCATCAATGGAAAACTCCCTGATAGCCACATCCTTGTGTGCGTCAACGCTCTCATCCCTCCGGAACATCTCCGTGATCCTCGAGATCTTTCTGTAATGGATGTTGTGCTGGGGGATGGGTCCATTATCCGTGGAGAAGAGGACGCTTCTGTGGTAGAGGAAGTCCTTTCGATTTACGTAGTGCTGATTCAAATGTGTCAGATTCGCGTCGATTCTCCGGAGTCCATCGATCCTCATAACGTCAAAGAACTCCAGGGATCTCTCGTCCTCCACCGAGTTGGACCCCATCGACGAGTACTTGTGCTCCTTGCAGGCGTCCGGACGTCCGCGCTCATACGAATCACTCACACTCCCTGAGATCAAATCCTTGATCGACTCGACGAGTTTATCCCCTCGATTCTGGTAATTCTCCATTATCATCACTGGTGATTGATACTCGTAATCCTCGAACTCCGTCATCTTCGAGGTGAGGCCATCCATCTGGACGTACGGTGCGAAGAACTCGGATTTAATTTTCTTGAAGAGAAGGATCTTTCGACCGTTTGGATATCGCCTCTCGAAATCGAGAGAGGAGATCTGAATCTCGTCGACGTAAGGGAAAGGCATGTCCAGGTGTTTGTCCTGGAGGACGTTGTAGTCCTCTTCCTTGTCCTCGGACAGTAGGAGTCGCGAGGGCTCTCCTGGAAGAAGACGCTCCCAGTGGCTTGTGTTGTCCAGGTCCCAGGTAAGGGCTGTGCAGGACTCGGTGCAGATCTGCATGTTTACCCAGTAGTTCCTGTCGTTCCAGACGCTCTCAATCCCGTGGTAGAGGTGACGCGTCTCCGGATCGCTCAAGTCGTAGAAGTAGCCCGAAGTCGCCTCGATGAACACTGGCGATTTGATTTCCTCGTAGCGAGTACCTTCCGTGGAATCATTGGGGAGGATCAGGACCCAGCTGTGCACTCGGTGGCCCCAGAATTTGTCGGGTGGTGGTTGCTCCTGCTCGTGGATCATCCTCTGGCGCTCCCTCTCCTGGTTATCCACTTCATCTTGCAATCGCTGACGCTCCAGCTCCTCCATCTCCAGGAGTAATTTACTCCGAAAATCGGGGGGTGATTTAACTCGGTATCGGGAGCAGTCCTCGGGGGTAGATGAGACTGGGGGTGTCCTGGTGATCGGTAAGTATGGACAGGAACGCATTGACAGATCGCACATTGTTTGCTCCTTCGAGGCGTAACCACTCACGACGTAGGCGTTGTAGCCCTGACCGAGGAGAAGCGAGACCAAGAGGGTGGAGTACTCGAAACTATTGGCTGTCTGGGTAATTAGCATCCACGTGGGTGAACACAGGCGCTCTGGCTGGAAAATAAAATTAATTGATTTAAAATTAATTCAAATTTTTTTCTCCCGACTTATTTTACCCCGCAATTATTTCGCTTTAATCACCATCAGGAAGGAAAATTATCTATTCATAAATTTCCCGCCAATTAAATTTTCAGCAATAATGAATGTACCAGCAGTCGGCAATAAAAAAAATTCTAGAATAATTCCTAACTTATCGACGGTGTCGATAATGGATACATTATTGATACCTGTACAATGATTTTTCTATTGGTAGTCATAGCAACCATCATTGGTTAATGGAGCATAAATTTTCCGCCAATGTTAACTACTTTCGCAATTATAGGCGCATAAGTGTACCTGCAGTAGGCAACAAAACTTTTTAATCTCGGGATTTCTACTTTACCGACGATTTATCGGTAGTGAAGAAATTTTTCGTATCTACGCAATAATTTTCCGGCTGACAGAGTCATAACAACCATAACCGGTTAATAGAGAGAAAGAGAGAGAGAAAGAGAAAGAGAGAAATGCCACCCATAAATCACCCGGGTAAAACCCGCAATCGTGGAAACACCGGAGCACCCACGTGCTCCCAATAATCTTGACCTACGCATTCCCATAGCACCTGAACATTGCAATCACCTCGCTCCTCAGAATTCCAATTAAATTTACGAAAAGCCCCGAAATTTCACCGGAAGTTTCACCCAAGCTCCGTCCTCACCATGACGCCTGAAAATCCAATTCAATTTTCCACGACGCTTCCGTGACGCCGTGCAGCCCTGAAGAATCGTCCAACGAGGCGCAGTCCCTTTTTTTATTTTTTTCATTGCGACGGTCGCTCACAAAAATAAATGGTCAATTCCATTCAACCAAGGCAATAGATTCGTTTCAGTGTTCTCTTGACTGAGTCGATAGGTGAGGGCAATTCGACGTTATTCGATTTCTGAAAATCCGGTGGCACATTGAGATCGCAATGTTGGCCCAGTGTTGACACAGCGTTACATCAATGCTGTTCCAATGTTAATCCGAAATCAGTCCAATGTTACCACCAAGCTACTCCAATGTCGATCTACAATTCATTCAATGTTGGTCCAACGTCGGCTCAATGTTGTATCAATGTTGTCTCAAGGTTGTTCCAATGTTAATTTAAAATGAGTTCAATGCTGTCCTCAGATTGGTTCAACATCCATCTAATATTGCTCCAACATTGCCTCAAGGCTGGCCCAATGTCGGCTCAATGTCGGCACCATGTGAAACATCTCCCGAAACATCTCCCGAAAGCCTCTCCCATCGAAACGCATTTTCTTTTTCCTTCCCACGAAAAACAAGTAGAAAACCGTGATATCGTTGGGTGGAGGGTGGCTACGACGGATAGGTGGGCGGACGAGGTAGGGGTGAGAAGTAGATGGCCAGTGGGTGAGTGGGTGGTTTGGGGTGGTTGGGTGGCACGACCCACCCTATTCCCACCGTCTCCTATCTTTCACACAAACACCCTCCCCCTCCCCGCCCCCGCAACACGACACGGTTTTCTCTCTCTTCCGGCCATTTCGCGCTCTCACTCCCACCGGCCGTTCTGCCAAGCCGTACCTCCACCCCCACATCACACTCTCCCTCTCCCTCTCTCTCTCTCTGGGCCGCGTCACCCTCATTCCGTGCGACCCCTTCGACCGTTCAACCACGTGGGGACACACAAAGCGAGGGTGTGAGGGAGCAGACAACGCGGAGATACTGCCGTCGCGGCAGCTGCGCCCAGTGGTGCTCATCACCACCTTTCCCATATTAACGTCATACAAAAAAAAATATATATATATATATATTCTCCTCTTTTTATTCTATTCCACTCTTTTTTTCACTCATCCTCGTCACGCCTCATCCCCACCCCCCCACCACTATCACTGAGAGGGGAAACGACGCAAATGGATATCGCGGATTACCCTGGGTGTCTCTTGCACGTGTGCGCTATCGCATTCTCCGATTTTCGGGGAATGCTATTAACTTGTTATGATGAATTGAGAATCGAGCGACTGTTTTAGCGCGATAAATGTCAACCGCGCGTCAAGGACGCGTGTTATTTCACTTCTCTCTTTTTTTTTTTTGCATTTTGTTTTCGTTGGTTTGTCGTGGCTCGCTTTGTTTGACCGTGTATATATATATATATTTTTTTTTTTCTTTCTTGTCCCCGTGGGACTTCGCGATTCTCGCGAGGAAACTCGAGGGTGAGGGGTGAGGGGGAGGGGGGGGGGATATTGCGGATGGGGAAACATCTCCGAATATGCGAACCGCTATTCTCTTCGTATATAGCTACGACGGTATTACCGGGATACTGGCTAGGTGTATCTAGGCCCTATGTACCGGTAGTTGCAGGGGTAAGGATACATAGGTGTTTCTCGCGAGTACATAAGCCCCCTCGGACCATCGGGTATATAAGCCCTCGCGACGCGATCACTAATACTGTGGATGTTTTATCTGTGTGGTATGTGGTAACGGTATACTGGGGCGGTGGTACATGGTCAAATCCAGAGCGTCGCGACGCTCAAGATACGCCTCATGACTTTTTTTTTAAACAAAAACAAAATAAGGGGTAAAAAAAATTTTGGGTAACCCCGGGGTAACCGGGGGGGAATAAAAGCCAAAAGTGAAAAAAACGAGGAGTAAATACGAGTTCATTATTTAAATTAGATTGGATAGAATAGAGGAATGGATAAATGAGAGAATGGTGAATGGGAAAATGAGGTGAATGAAGGATTGAGGGAGAGATTTATTTTGATTTCGCGGAAATCGAAAATTCCGGGAATTTCACGTCCAAGGTCGTTTGAGTTTTTCATTGTGGCGGGTGGGATTGAATGTTTATTCAAATCGGTGGAAAAATTTCTCATTCGATCTGAAAATTTGACATTTTTGGGGTTTTGAGAGAGAATTTAAACTCAAATTTAATTCAATTTTCAATAAATTGAAAATCCGGGAAAATTGTTGATTGAATTTTCGAATTAATTTTTTTTTAATTCTCTTGAATTAATTGTTTTTGTTAAAAATCTCAAGTTTTTTTTACTTGAAATTTCGTGTATAATTCTCCAAAAGTTCATAAAATTCTTATTTATTTATTAACACGCCTCCCACGATGAATAATAACGGATTTGTCTAAACGATAATTGAGATTTCACCTATTTAGAGTAATATAAGTCTAAATGAATGTCAGTTTATATTTCCTGATTGCCGATTTGTCACGAAAACAATCGATTTGTGATGAATAACATTCGTCATAAAATCACTTGCTTTTAATTTTTTAATCCGAGTTTACCGTTTCGATACTGAACTCTTCCGTGACACAAGCATTAACGACTTAATTACAATTACCGTTTTAATGACGTTTTCAAAATATTTTATCAATGCAAAATCTTAATTAAAATCGGGTCGAATGATAAATATTCCCACCGCAATATTTCCCTTTAAAATTGAACAAAAAATCATTATCAAATATTTGGAATAATATTTTCCGAAATCGATTTAATTACCATTTCATCAATATAAAATGCTTAACGACCTTAATGAAACTCGTGATTAAAATGATAATTTATTTATAAATAGTTGGATAAATTATTTCTCCGGCGTAACGATTTGTGTTTTTTTTTTTCGAAAATTCTTCTGGATTTTGGAAAATTGCGCTATTTTTTCGCGTTTTAGAAATTTTCGGGAGAAATTCTGTAATCGGAGAATTGATTACTCGATGTACGTGGGATTGAAATTGAAAGTGGATGGAGTTTTATTTGAATCGAATGAAGGCGTTCATGCAAATGAGACGTAATGAGGGTTTTAATCACTGCGAGTCTTCTCATTCACTGGGGATGAATAAACTCGAGTGTTTATTTTAGAAGGGCCGTCGTAAAATGGTCAGACTGACTTATCAGCTCTCGAGTAATTATGGAGTTATCACAGTGATTAGCGGTTCTCAGGGAAAATTGATTTTATTTTATAGAGGGAATTTATTTTCATGGGTACATCCTCACATCAACTCATTTTTTTATCACTTTCGGTAATTCATGAATATTGATTTAAACTTTCGCGCATTAATAAACAAATGAATAAATAAATAAATATCCATTTTTACGGAATAAATTAACTATTACCTCAAGGGTAAATGATGGAAAAAAATGTAATATTATGAGAGGGGGGGGAGGGGGCAATCTCAGGGGAATAAATTAAGTGATTGAGATCGATTAAATCGATTTTTATCGATTAATTACTTTTGCTTGTGCTCCGGAACTAGACAGAATTTTTTTTTCTTAACAAATATTTTCTTTAGGTCTGGGGATTTTGTTGTAATTGTTGAGATGAATATGTGTGAAATAAATAATTAATTGATGAAATAATTCTATTTCGGAAAATTGTCACTTTTGCCCCGGAAAATCCCAGAAGGTATCTTCGAGGCTAGACCAAATGATTATTTTTATTTCCACATTCTCCCCAGGTACCTGAGGACTCTATTATTATTTTAGTGGAAAATACATGCGAAATAAACAATTGGTTGATAAAAAAATAGTATTTTAACAAATTGTCACTTTGTTCTCGTAAAAATTCTAGATCACGTCCGGAGCTATCAAAATTATTTATCCATTCGGTATGCCCTTCCCCTCAACCACTTCATCATCATCTTCAAGATGATCCCCCCGAAAAAAATTGATTCCCTCGAAAACGCAACCCCGTCCCCCGAAAAACCGGAAAAAGCTCCGCCACCCTTCGCCAGCGCCATCCGTGAGCGGTGAAGGGACGAGAAACGCGAGGGGATACTATTTGCAACGAGATGTCGTGGGGGTGGGAATGAGAGGGTGGCAAAGGGTGAGCGTGAGGAGGGGCGTTACGGTTGCCGTGGGGTGGGTATGTCGGGGGGGAGGGTGGGTTTGCGCTCTCGCTGATTACGTCGCGGAATAGCCGTAGCAAGAGAGGACCCGTCTCCGTCCCACCAATCCGGACATGTCCTAAACCTGGTTGAGCCTCGCTTTCCTCGGCAAATTCCCCACCCT